ACGGTCTTAAAAGATTGGACTTTGCAACTTGGATTATGCCGGGATCGACTGATTCACAAATTCGAAAAGAATCACTGGAATGGTATCCAAAATTAAGCTGATCTTAATGATAGTTTATTTTCTTTATGTCTTTAATGTTATGTTTTCAATCCTTATTATAATGTCGATGTGTTAATTCATACTTTCTAATTTTAATAATATCTAATTGATTCTAACAATAAATTGCCATAGCTAATTCATTTATTTGAGGAGCCTTTAGTTCCACAACATCTTGTTTGATGAAAGCAAGTTTTAATTAGTGCTTCGGGCTATCTCTTTTGTTTGATTGCACAAGTAAAATTACTTGTTACTCAATTTAAATTCAAATAATGCAAATTAACTCTAAAAAAATTGTTTGTCCGATACTGTAAAAAAATGTCTATTTATTGTTAAATTACTTAACGGATACGGAAACCGCGATACAGAGAAACGAGGAAACGAATACGTGGAAGCGGCATGTTTTAAAAAATTGGATACGGGAATTCGGGGGAAACGTGTAAATGTTAAAAGTATAGGGGTATATTTATAAATATGCTATATATAAACATATGTAAGTTTTTATTCATATAGAAATTATTTTTTTATATATTTTCATACAAACACATTCAAAATAAATTTTACTATCAACTATCAATTTGCAATTGATCATTAAATAGCATAAATAATTAGCGAATCAACAAAATATTTGAATTTTTTTAATTTAAACATATTTCTAACTTTTGAAAAATTGCAAAACTACTCATAAGCTGTCCTCCAAGTATCCTAGAGTGTTAGACACGCAACATGTCCAAAATGCGGAAACATTAAGCAATTGAAGTTTCCATGTTGCCTAGAATATTTGGAGTGAACTTAAATTGAAAAATAAATTATATTAAAATAAAAAAACACTAAGTTAAGGTAAAGTAAAGTAAATGTTAAAATCAAAATTAAAATTAAAATTAAAATAACCCGAAACAGGCCTGATTTAGATGGGCCGGCCAATTTGAAAATAAAACCTTAAAAGTGAACATTAAGATTAACATTAAACCTATTTTTAAATTGAACCGGCCAATCATATTTAGGGAAACGCAATTAAACAACCTTAATTCCATCGACTGTTAGGGCAACAATTAAAATTCAATGAATCCTACGACAAACAAAGTACGGAATCCCCTGAATCTACCTTAGGTTTTTTGCTCTACGACACAGATCTGGCTTCAAATATGTAAGTTTGTTTAAAAGATCTTTTTTTTTTTTTTTTTTTTTTTTTTTTTTTTTTTTGTGTAAACTGTGAATTTATGTTTAAGATTTGTATGATCAGTTGTTGATTTGAAAATATTTCTCTAAAGGTTTGATTTTTATCGTAAATTCTCCACTCTGTGTCAATTATTTGCTGTTAAAAATCAAATCTTGATTTTCCTTTATTGTAATTTGTTTGAAGGTTGTTTTATGAAAATAATTCTCTAAAGGTCTGATTTCTATCGTAAATTCTCCACTATGTATCAATTATTTGCTGTTAAAAATCAAATCTTAATTTTCCTTTTATTGTAATTTGTTTGAAGGTTTGTTTTATGAAAATATTTCTCTAAAGGTTTGATTTTTGTCGTAAATTCCACTCTATGTCAATTATTTGTTATTAAAAATCAAATCTTGATTTTCTCTGTCAATTATTTGCTGATAAAAATCAAATCTTGATTTTCCTTTTATTGTAATTTGTTTGAAGGTTCGATTTATTAATAATTTTGTATGTAAACGCAGGTGCAAATTTGGTGGATATGGAGCTGATTAGAGAGCCCGGTTTATCGAAAAATTTGGGTGATTATATTCAGTTCTTGAAGGTAATATTCTTTTTTCTAGTTATTAATATAATGATAGTTTAATGGTTAGAAATTACTGCTAATTTCAGACATCATTCAATCTTGAAACCTTTTAATATTGGATAGGAGATAGAAGAACTGTTGATCGAATTGTAATTTTAGTTTCATAAGTTGAATGAGTTCATATAGGCATGGCTCTCTAACTCCATTCGTTATATCTCTAACTTAGGCCCCGTTTGGTTGCCATGATTAATTAAATTGTTGGACTTAATTTGATGTTTGGTATCCCCAATAAATTGCCGGGTCGCCCGCCAAAATTATATAATCATGGCTTATCTTGCCTTCTCATGAGTTTTTTTGTTGAACGTTGCAAACTCCAATAAAATAATTGGGTTTGATTAGATTATTTAATCTTATCTTGGCTAATCTTATCTTGCCAACCAAACGGGGCCTTAGATTCCATTTTATTACCGTTAGCACCGAGTAGATTTGTCTGCCTTTTGTTCTAATTTACGGCTTCTGGTTTTGCCACCCTGATATTTACCAACAAGTCTCATGGTATAGTGAGATGAATGTTTCGATGTAGTTTTTTCTTTCGTTTTTATATTCATCTGGGGTAAGAAAACGAGAGCGTAAAAATAGACATTATGTTGACAAGATTGTAACATGAACTATGAGAATTGACATTATGCTGACTAGATTGTTACATGAACTATACGAATTGTTGAGCACATCTCTTGAATGCGGAAAAGCAGTACAAATATGGAATTGGTTCTTGTAACATTTTTTTTCACTACCGCTCGTTTGCACTTTTACTCGTTTCTATATTTCTTAAAATGTATAATATTAGTGCAAAATAGTTTATTCTAGAGAGCTATTCGTCTTTGTTGATCAGTTATCCCTGAAATACGACAGGCTATGTTTCAAGTCAGTTCGCACCAGAATATCTGCTCTACGGTCAGCTAGGCGTTTTGCGTGTAAGTTCTCTTGCAATTTAAACTTGTTAGAACTGTATTCATGGTACCAAAACTTGCGTAAGCAAACACCAGCTGATTACTCGCATTCTCTTTGGTTAATTGGCAAGAAGATAAATGTTCAGTATCGAAAAATACACTAACTAGATCCAGTGGTAAAAAAACAGTCTTGAAACATGCAGCTCTCAAAATTGTTCGATAGCAAGAAAAATACTAACTAGATCAAGTGGTTAAAGACCTGTCGTAAAACCTGCTACTCTCAAACTTGTACGGTAGCAAGAAAAATACTAACTAGATCAAGTGGTTAAAAACCAGTCGTAAAACCTGCCACTCTCAAACTTGTCCGGTAGCAAGAAAAATACTAACTAGGTCAAGTGGTTAAAAACACCAGTCGTAAAACCTGTAGCTCTCAAACTTTTTCAATAGCAAGAAAAATACTAGATGAAAGATTAGCTAAATGAAGATGTGTAATTAGGAAACCTCAAATACGGAATCAATTCTTATGACATTTTTCACTACCGCTCGTTTGCACTTTACTTGTTTCTATATTTCTTAAAATGGAAAAATGTGGCCCGGAAACATATTTATAGTTTATTTACTTATTCTGCATTTTTCTCTTACAGAGCTATTCGTCTTTGTTGATCGATTTCTCGGAAATATGACAGGTAAGTTTTCTGGCAATTATAACTTGTGATAATTGTATTTACGCACATTTTCGGTACCATAACTTGCTTAAGACCTTGGCAGATCATAAAACGCGATTCGCTAACTAGAAACACATCGATAATAGAACGTGCAACGCTCGAACTTTTTCGACAGTAAGAAAAAAAAACTAACTAGATTAATTGGTTTAGAAACCTGCAACTCAACATGTTCGATAGAAAAGAAGAAAAAAATCTACGGTAACTTGTTCGATCTTCATTTATTTTTTTTATTCTTGCCGGCGGCGGATGAAGAACCCGGCGACGCTTTCTTGTTCTTCCAATCCGGTGAGCCGATACGACTGTTCTTCGTAATTTGGCATTCCTTAATGTGAGCTAACTCTAGATATTTATCCATTTGAAGTAGAAACTCACAGTGGGGGCACCGGAAGGGTATCACATTTATATGTGCCTCGGATTGCACGATTCTGTTAGACTTGTCGAACATCTTTTCGTTATCTTTTGCCTTGTTCTTCGTCTTCTTCGTCATGCTTGTTGAGATCTCGTTTTTTCTTAAAGTTAACCTGCATCGTAAAAAAGTAACCGATAAATTATCGTTTCATTTTCTTTCTTTCTCGAAACATGAAAATTATTAGTCTGCACTAGCTCGGATGATCTGAACCGAATTCGAACGTCGTTTCCACTCGATTCGATTCGGTGAAATTCATAATACAATACAACACATCTCAATCAGGTGCGCACCTGATTGATTACATCGCACAATTATATGATTGAAGCACACCAAATTAAACCCTAATTCATCGCATTATGATACAAAACAAAATAATAATTAAAAAAAAAAGAAGCAAATATGTTCATGCAAATGAATCACCCACCACCCACTGTTTCATCGCATTATGATTAAAAAAAATCAAAGATCTCATTTATCACAATTCAATGAATCACACACGCATTATGATTAAAAAAAAAGAAGAATTAAAACCCTAATTATGTTCATGTAAATGAAAAGGAAACCCTAATTGTGGGAGAGTCTCACCTCGGGTGAATAGTCTCTTGAATATCTTGAAGCCTTTGCAAGTATGTGGAATTCTCTCTGCACTGTGTTGTATTCCGATGATTACTTGGTGAAACCCTAATATATAGTAGATTGTTTTTTGTTTGGGGTGAGGGGGGGGGGGGGGGGGCGTCTCTCAGTTTTTTTTTTTCCAAATTTAAAAAAAAAAACAAACGGGGGAGGCTC